GTGGAAAAGCCTTTCAGAGGAATTCACACCTCAGCAGGCATCAGAGAACTCACATAGGTGAGAAACCATATGAATGTAGTGAATGTAGAAAAGCGTTTAAGAGTAAGTCATATCTCAGCAGGCATCAGAGAACTCACATAGGTGAGAAACCATATGAATGTAAAGATGTGTAAGATTCTGTTGTGTAATTAACATCATGTTTAAATTACTTAGACTGTATACAATGTAAAAACTATATAAATGGGTGTTGTAGGTTTTTTTATAATTTGTATTGTTGTACTGTTTTTTCCAAATATATTTGGTCTATGGTTGGTTGAATCCGTGGATCTGGATCTTGTGGATATGGAAGCTGGCTGTAATGAATGTGAAAATGTCTTTTTTCAGAGGTCAGACCTAAGCAGACATCAGAGGACTCATGTAAGGGAGAAATCCCTCATAGTAGAGACTGGTTATTATTTTCCACAATGCACTGTCTTTTGAACAGATAGCATGCATACTCAGTATCTTGTTATTGTGTGCATGACTGTAACTGAGCTCTGTTCAGGGGATTATGGAAACAAGTGATGAGCATTACTTTCTGGCCTTGCAACAGCAACAACAACAAAAGTCCAGGCAGTTCTTCACAACTTCCAGTATTGAAGTGCAGATGACTTCCAAGGTGTACTTGGGAGACCAAGGTGCTAGAAGGTAACTTAAGGAATTGATTAGAGCAGAGTTGATCTCACTTTTATTCTGAAACTCTAATTCATACTTCATGTGAATAAGAAATAAATACTATATTGAGCCATTGTTCGTGTGATGTTTGCATTACAACATCCTGCCCACAGTAGCTAAATGACTTTATGAAGTTTCTGGGATTAGTTATCTGTCCTTGTATATGAGAAAATTCACAGAGGAGACAAAACTGTGTGGTCACCTTTTATTCCAATGTTTATTTATGGAAAAATGAAAGAAATCACTGGAAAAACAATGCAACACTTTGGGAATACCTTATCAGGGGGATATCTTACTGAATGCTTTAATGTGTCAGCACTTACAAAAAGTTTAAAGTTTCTTGTATATTAGAGAATTTGAAATGATGGGAAAACTATTGAGTTATGTAATATGTATGTAAATTTTCAAATGGCAAAGTTACAAGTACTGTCAGAACTGTTTTTTGAAATGTTTGACTCTATGCCTGTAGTTAAGTTTAAGTGTTCATATTGTTTTTCAGAGGACATTTGCCTATGTCTAGAGATGTTTTAGGTTGTCATAACTCAAGGTGCTACTCCATCTAGTGAATAGATGCCAGGGATGTTGCTAACACCCTGCAGTGCACAGAACAGTCTTCTCAGGTGTGTAGGTTTTTTGCATATAAGTATTCTATGTAACAGGAATTGTATTTAATGGAATCTGACATAAGTGTAGGTAGTGAGTATGTACACTTAGCATAATACATATAGTGATTTTTGGATTTTGTACATTAAATGCCACCCCACCTTTTTTATAGTTTGTTAAATGTCACAAACCTTTTTTCATGAAACTTGACTAGATGTGTGGATATATGATATTTAATAAATTTTGGTGTAAAATAGAATTAAAATACAATATGTATTCTTTCCTGAACTATTTCAAGTCCCCTCATATTTATGATAAAACCCATTGCAAACTAGGAATATAATGATGCTTCCAAGACCTGCTTAAGAACATCTATTGAAAACCTATGGCTGTCATACACCACAGTGAAAGACTAAGTGCTGTAACCTCAAAGTTTGAAAATAATACAAGAATGTTCAATTTTACCACTTTGTTTAACTTTGAAATGGATAAATTAGCCAAAAGTATTACACAAAAATGAATGAAATCTTATTAGGATAGAAAAAATAGAACCATCTTTAATTTCAGGTGACATAAAGTGGTACATAAAATTTTGTAAGGCATTTACTAACATGCAGTAGAATCTATAAATAGGCTTATCAAGGTCAATATAAAAAATTAAACTGTATTCTAGCAATGAGTAGCCTAAAAATAAAATAAAAATTCCATTCCTAGTAATATAAAAAACATTTAGAAATAAATGTTACTACAAAAAGTACAAGTCTTTGCAGTAAAAATTAAAAGAACATTGGTGAAATAAAAAGAAAACAATAGATATTTAATGCTTAAAAATAATTATATTTAATATTCTGAAGATCACAGTACTACACAAATCTAAAAATTTAATGCATTTTCTTCAAATTCACGTCTTTTTTACAGAAATTGACAAGCTCAGTTTTCCTAAAATGTATGTAAAAGTGCAAATAAAGTGAAATATAACAATTTTGAAGAAAATTGATTCACACCAATAACAAATATTACTTTAAATTACCATTATTAAGGCAGTGTGGTGCTAGCATAAGCATAGATTCATGTAGGTCAATGAGATATATTTAAAGGTCCAGTAATAAAACCTTTTATTATGGTAAGTTGATTTTGACAAAGGCACCAAGATAAGTCAATGAAGAAAGAAGTCTTCTCGATGAATGGTGCTGGGAAAACTGTATATCCACTTGTAAAAAGATGAAGTTGAACTCCTAACTCAAATCATACACATACACAAAAATACTCCAAATAGGTCTCTCATTGTGTAGGAGCTACAACTATAACATCCTTAGAGAAATATTGGAGTAAATATTTTTAATTATAAATTAGGTAAGAATTTCTGAGATATTACAGTATAATAACAATCTAGAAAAGGAAATAAGTTTTAGAAACTACACTTGATAACATTTTAAAACATGTTTTTCAAACAGTACCATGGAGAAAATAAGGCAAATTAGTGAGTGTGGAAAAATATTTTAAATTATGTATCTGTGTAGGGTCTAGATCTATCCTGAATATACATGAAACTCTTAAAAGACAATAATAGATAATAGATCAAATTTTTTAAATAGGCAAAGGATTTAAATAGACATGTCTACAAAGAAGATGTGCAAATTTTCAATAAGTACATAGAAATATACCCATTATTAGTGATTAGGTAAATGCAAATTGAAACCATAAGGAGGATAATAGTGCAATAGCTATAATGTAGATATGTCTTTGCAAATACTTGGAGAATATGGTGTCATACATTGCAAATGAATGTAGAGTACTGCATCCACTTTGGCAGTTTCTCAAAATATTATATGTAGAGGGTTAATATCTTGTAATATGTTCTTCTAAGAGGATGGTGATGACCTCTGGCTACAGCTGGAGGAGACACGTGGCACCAGTACCCACATGGGATGTGCTGCACATAGTATTTCTGAAGATGGTACCACAAGCTGTTAGAAACTGCTGCATCCTTGAACTCAAGGGAGTATGCAATATAGTCTATTCACAAAAAATTTCAGGAGTTCTGTCCCTGGGGGCTCCCCCTCCTGTATCCCTGCTCACTTACTTTCCCCACAGCTTTCAAAATAAATGTCCATGCAGGGAGTATGCAATATAGTCTATTCACAAAAAATTTCAGGAGTTCTGTCCCTGGGAGCTCCCCCTCCTGTATCCCTGCTCACTTACTTTCCCCACAGCTTTCAAAATAAATGTCCATGGGGCTTTGACTCTGGGCCTTCAACTCTGGGCCTGCACTAGCTTAGTGAATGATCACTCCAAATCCCTCTGTTGCAACTGCCACCATCTCTGAGTAGTTCATTACTGTCTCCACTTCAACATTTGCTACATTTTGCATGCAAGGATTACTCAAAGCCCAAATACTTGAAAGCAATGAGAGGCCCAGAGGGAGCACACCAAGCTAACTTCCATAAGAATGGAGAAAATAAGCAAATAGAGTACAGTGCCGGTTATACATTGTATCACCATATTGCTCAGAAATTTCACTCTCAGGAATGTACAGAGAAAAAAAAACCTATGGCCACACCAAGACTCATATGTGAATGCTCATAGCAGCACTATTTATAATAAAAGTAAATGAAACCCAAAGAATCATCAATTAGTGGAAGAAAAAATTAACGTGGTATATCTGTGCCATAGAATACTGTTCCACCAATCAAAGGGTATGCAGAATTGTCTAGAGCTGGAGAGGTAAGGGAGAATTGAAAGGTAGGGCCTTGAAGAGGTGATTATATTGAAGCGCCATACCCTAGTGAATGGATTAATAATGGTCAGGGGTGTGGTTCTGAGTTAGAAGAAGAGTACATGAGTAGTTTTCTCTCTGCTCTACCATTTTCTGCTGCCATGTGAGACCCCTGAGTCACTCACCACCACCAAGGTTTATGCCAGCTGTGTTCCCTGGATTTTGGGCTCCCGAAGGTCTGAAAGTGTAAGCAACTCATTCCTTTTTCTGATGCTATTAAGGGGTGCAATCTTTAAGAGGACATTAAGTCATGAGGGCTCCACCCATTATGAATAGATTTAAGACCTTTTACATGAGGTTTTATGCAGCATTTTGCTGGCTTGCCCTTCTGCTTTCTGCCAAGTAAGGAAACAACATTCCTCTCCTATGGAGGATATAGCATCCTGGCACCATCTTGGAAGCACAGAGCAGCCCTCATTAGTCAATCAAACATGTTGGTGCCTTAATCTTTTATTTTCCATCTTCCAGAACTGTGAGAAAATTTTTATTTATAAATACCACGTCTTATGTTTTATGGTATGGCAGCACAAATGTACTACAATGTTCATCATCTTAATTGAGGTAAACATAGTGTCTCAATGATGTGCACTATTGAGGAAAAGACTATGACTCTACTTTGTGTGAGAGTGAAATATACTTTATCTTGAGTTGGCCAGCTTGCCCAAAGTGATCACGGTGCAATTGTCATCCCATAGTTCCAGGTGTCTTATGTGACATGATTAGCTACCTTTTCCTGAGGTCTGAGCTTTATTACAAAGCCAAAGTGTTCAATTTTTTCCTCCACATACTGTACTAAATTTTGCTGATCCTAATGAAGTGTCACCTTCCCCCTTAACACCTTGTTTCTTTCATTTTCTCAGTGTCTTCTCATCAACCTAAGTGTTCTTTGTCACATGGTAAGTAGACATTGGTCATGAGTTGCCAAAACACAATATTCAACATTTTTATATAATTTCTAAAGATGATGTTATTCAATCTGCCTGAAGGGCTCTCACTTCATTTGTGGCTTTCTCTCTCCTTTTGTGGGTTTTTGCTTCAATGTCAGATTGATTTTATTTTCAAAAAAAATTTTTTTGTTGT